CCTCCATACACCTTGAATATGCTGAGGCCCTTCTTCTCGCTGAACACCTCGCGCCCCTCAGTGCCCTCCAGCTTCTTGGGGTCGGGCACGTACGCCCCCGGCTCCACCGCGCAGGTGAGGCTCGCCTGGCTCGGCTCTGCGACCGTTGGCGGCACGGGGGAGGGGGGGGGGAGAGCTTAGTTCCGGGGGTTCGTGTTTTTGTGGCTTGCCTTTTGAACAGTTGTTGACGCTGGGCGGCGGGAAATGCAGTTCTGCGCTGGGGGGCTTTGCGGCGTCGCAGCAGCCCAACCGTGAATTGGGTTTGCTTGGGCGTGCGGTTGCTATTGCGCGACAGGCTCTGGCGCCGGCCGAGTGGCGTGGTTTGGAGCGCCTGGGGGTCAACTTCTAGGCCCGGGGGCTGCCTCTTGGGGGCGCGTGCCGAGGGCGCGCGGTTGTTGCGTCCGAGGCGGAGCCCCAAGTTTGCTCACCGCTGAAGAAATCCTTTGAAAACTTGTCAGCGAGGCTGCGAGGTGCGTGATCACAAAAAAGGGAGGGCGTGGAGACCCCTCACGATCGGCGGAGCACCGGCGGCGGCAGCTGGCATCCCACTTGGACCCGACGGAGACACCCCCGGCCCCGGTCGCGACCCCGCTCGAAGGAGGGCGGCTGCGCTATTTGCTGGGCGCCCTGCGGGTGTCATGCAGTCTCGGCTCCAGGAGGACACCTGCGGGTCTCGGCCCGGCCGTCCTCAAAGATGAGATCGTGCTGCCGCCTCTTGGGATTCCAGCCCCCCCCCCTACGCTGGCCGGACGGAATTGCAAGAGGCAGCCGCCTCTTGGGATTCTGGTGTCACCCCCCACCTCCTCTTGAAGTCCGAGATGTACAGGGTGACGCCCGGTACGTCCGCGTCATCCAGCGCGGTCACCTCCACGCTGTCCTGCGGTTACGCCAGGGTGACGGCACGGTGACCTCAGAGTGACATCAGAGTGTCGAGAGGGAGATCGGGAGGCAAGCAAAGGAGGGGCCTCTTGGGCGGGGTGGGGAGGGGGTGCTCAAAAGCGGCCGCAGCCCTGGGGGCATGAGCGCGAGCCGCGCGCCCTGCTTCGAGACTTTGCATGGAACTTTCGCCACACCCCAGATTTCTCGTTTCAGGTGCGCCCATGCAGTGACGCTGCCCACGGCCGCGCCGTCGCACAACCACCCTCCCCCTTTGATTGCCCCCGCCTGGTACACCCCCGCCCCCCAAACCTTGAACAGCAGCCCGGACGCCGCAAACTCCCCGACCTTCGACCGGCCCGCTGCCTCCGCCGCGCCTGCGATGCGTGCGCCGCGCGGCAGGTCCCGCGTGGCGATGGAGGTCCCGGTTCCGAGGGGAAGGGTGGGCCGCGTGAGTGCTCGGCGGGTGGTCGGGGCTGGCTGTCCTTTGAAGGGATGGCTGTTTCGCGGCTGGGGACGGATGTGAGGGCGAAACCGCATGCGAGCTGCTCTTACGACTGTGACGGCTGAGCAGACTACGATCAGCATGACTCGCCTGCCCCGACGAGCGTGAGGGCGGCCAGACCCGCGCACAGCGCCGTGCGGGCGGCGGGCACGCTGTCCTCAAGGGCCGCTGCGGTCACGTTGCGCCGGGCCGCGCGAACTGCGGAGCCGGCACACACATTGGCGCTTTTGTGGCCAGTGAAACAGCCGGAAGATGGGCGACAGGTCCTGCTGATCATCTGAGCTGACGGAATCAGAGGACGAGCCAAGATCGCCGTTTGACGACGAGCGGGATCCAAAGTTGTGGCAGATGTGCGGCGCAATATCATCAATCACACGTTTCTCGTAGGATCTGAGGGCCTCAGCATCAAGCGCATGCTGCAGCGCGACAGCACCCGGTGACGCCACCTGCTGCATCCATGCGTGCGCCAAAGAGCTGAGCCGCAGCTGGCACCTCCAATACCTTGATAATAAAGTTACAGCAGGGTATCAAAGCTTGTGAGAGGCATCCGTTATGCAGCTGTGTCGTCGGTCCCGCCGAGGCCAGCCACATTGCCCGCATGGCCTGACACGGGTCAACCCCAACTCCAAGGGGCGCCGGCCGCGGCACAAGTGCGTAGCAATGCCAAAATGCCAAAACCCTCAAGATCCTCAATGCATTTCGACAGGGACAAATCTGGGTGCAAAGGCGCAAGGCGTCGCGGCAAGGGGCCTGGAAACAGCGGCCAAACAGCGGATGGGCAGCCGGCTGTTGCGGCGCCGCCACCCCGAAGGATGTGCCCGGCCCGCCGCGCCGCGCCCAGCGCCCGCGCTCTCCCTTGATCGCGACGGGCGCCCAGCCGGCCGCGGCAAGGCGGCCACCCAAGGCGTGCGCCAACCCCCACACCCAGCACAGCGCCAAGGCTCACCCTTGCGCCAAGCCCAGCGCGGCGCCCCCTCCCACCACCACCCCAGCCACGCACCCCTCGCGAGGCGCTCAAGACCCTGGGTGGAGGCCCCTGGGCCCATCGGCCCCGCCACAGGGCTTCTTTGTAGCCAGCTGTCAAGTCGCAAACCAAACGAACCCCCTCTAAAGCTGCGGGACCCTGGCCCAGCACCGCACCTGCCGGCACCGCCGGCCGGCCGCCGCCCCGCCGCCACGGGCCTGGCTCAGCGCTGCATGGTCTGCCCCTCCATGATCGCGCGCCGCAGGTCCGCCACCGCCGACCCCTTCTCGTCGCTGCCCGTGAACACCGTGGAGCACTTGCCGGTGGACCCTATGTCCCGCAGCAGGTCAAAGTACTGCGTCACCAGCATCAGCTCCAGGACGTCGCGGCTCTGGGGGGATGGGCGCCCGATGACGCGCGGCGGTTTATTTGGGGTGTGTGGGGAGGAGGGCGGTTGGGAATGTTTGGTGCGTCAGAAGGATGGCGGGGGCCGTGGCTGGACGGCGGGTGATGTGGAATCGGTCTTTGAGGGAGTTGGCGGTCGGGCTGGTTGGGAGGGGGCGAGGCCGGCGCGGCGCAGGCCGCGCGCGCCGCTGCAGCCGCCGCGGCGGCGGCGGCCGCGGGCAGCCAGATTTTGAAGGCATGCGTCAGAGCTGGAGGTGACAGGGCTGTCTCAGGGCAGCCGCGGGGGGAGTATGCAGGGGCCTCACCTGTATGCCGGGGATGGAGCTGGAGAACTCGCGCACGGACTCACGCAGCCCCGCAACAATGGCCTGGGGGTGGAAGGTGGGAATGGGTTTTTTTGGGGGGGTGGGGTTGAAAACCAGAGGTTGGTGGGGGTTTTTGAATCAGGGCTTCAAGGTGGCTGTCGGGCCGCCGGCCGCGTTGGGTCAGTCGTGCACGCCTGCGGGGACAGCGGCGATCGGGTCAGCAAAACAACCAAGACCGCACCTCAGACCATAGACCATCCGAAGAGCAGCGCCGTGCCGCAGCCCGCCAGGGCGGGGACCCCCCCCACGCGTCACCCCCCAAAAAATAGGCCCACAGGATTGGGCCCGAGCGGCTGCATCCGGTACGGGCCCGCCCGACAGACACAGCAAAGACCATCAGTTGAGAGGGAAACTCGAAGCACAAGTTTGAGGCCACGGAGGAGAGGCCCTCCTCCCGCCCCCGCCCCCCGCGCGGCGCGCAGCGCGCGTCTATGCTGGCGCACCTGCCGCTGGCGCGCGACGCCGCTGCCGTGGAGGTACTTGGCTTCGGCGTCCGCCTCCGCGCTCTTCACCACGCGCACCTGATGAGAATTGTAATATATATTGTATTATGTCGTCGAAGGAAGGGACAAAAAGGGGGTCCAGAGGGTCGGGCGCAACGGGCGGCGCGGGCGCCGCGGCGCGGGGCGGGCTGGCTTGGGCGGGCGCTTGTGTAGCCGTGCCTTCTTTGGACCCCGTGCGCTCTGCCACGGGCCCAGGGGCTGTGAGGGGTTGCGGGGGTGCGGCCGCGCACCTTCGCGGCCTCCGCCTTCTCCAGCGCCGCCACCCTCAGCCGCTGCGCCGCGTTGATGTCTGCGGGACGGAGGGCGGATTGGAATGTCGTCGCCGCGGCTCTGCTCGGCCGCTGTGGCTTGCAGCCAACCGGGATCGGCGATAGGCCAATTTTGAGCAGCTTGATAAAACGTGTGTGTATATGCGTTCGTGTGTGTGAGTGTAAGCACGCGCGTGTGACCATATGTACAAGCATGTGTACAATGTGCGACACATATAGATGTATGCAAGTGCTGCCCGCGCGCGGTGGCTCTCACCATTCATTGCCTCCTTGACCTTCTGGGCCCTGGAGGGGTTTGCAAGGGGGGGCAGGTCCAGGGAGTGGGGGGCCTGAGGGGTTGCTCGTCTGCGGAGCGGACCGTACGCATGAGAACAGCACACAAACCCCTGGGCGTGACCGCAACTGCTGCCGCAACAGAGCAACCACTGCTTCCTCTCCCACAAACACACACACATGCACGAAGTGCCCCGGGCTGCATGGAGCGAATTGCCCGGTTGGGGCGATGAATTTGCCAGCGACCCGCCACATTTACAGCCCCCGAGGCCCCCTACTCACGGCCTGATATCGTTGACCAGCGCCTGAGGTGGGTTTGGGGGGGTGGGGGCA